TAAGCGTCGACGCAATTTTAATGACTAGGCTTAATTTATTCCTTAAGGTCAATGCAGCCGAAAAAAATTTCTACAAAAACAATAAACATACCAAATTAGATATACCAAAAACTACAAATTATATACTATAAACAGACATTATATTAAACAGTGAAAACAAAGCCAAATATGTTTCAAACTAGCACGGTATTCACCCAAGTCATTATTTCATCATAGTTCACAAAATGCATCAGATAACATTCCAGAAGTAAGCACTTATATAAACATTTAAAAGGACAACATATAGGTTTAGTGCAGGTTCAAGGACAACATAAAGAGTAGTAGTTTATTCTTAAAACTTAAATTAGCAACACTGTGAAGTTAGTATTTGTCTTTGTTTTTTGGTTGAAGTAATACAATTCATTCAAGTTTCAATTTGGCGAATAAAAGAAGTTTCTGAAACTGAAAATCGCAACGCGAAAATGAAAATCGCAACACGATTTTAGTTTCGCGTTGTGATTTTCATTTCGCGTTGCGAATTTGGTGTTGTGATTTAGGGTTTCTTCAACAAAAAGACAAAACAAAAACAAATACTAACTTCACAGGGTTAAAGACTAAACAGTTTAGTAGTATTGGCAGCAACCGAATAAATTTAGCAATCTCAGTGAAATGGTTAATCTAATAATAATACAAAAATTTCAAAATAAAAATAAGAGATTAAAAAAACTAAAATAAAAATAAGAGATTAAAAAAACTAACCATCGGTGGTTGATTTTCCATTTATGACCGTGAATGGTTGTGAGGGTTAATCTAAGAGATGAAGACAGACGGATTTTGTCGGAAATAGGGACGGATTTCGTCAGAGATGGAGACGGATGTCGCCGTAGAGAGTGAGAGATGGAGATGAGACTGAGTTGTGCTTTAGGGTTTTAAGTTAGAGATGATTTGCGATAATATTGTTTACATTTGTGTTGCGAAATTAATATTGTGTTTTGCGTAAAAATATTTGACTTTCGCGTTGCGAATTTGACTATCACGTTGCAAATTTAGAAAATCGCAATGCGATTTACATATTCGCGTTGCAAAATTGGAAACTGGGTTGCGAAATTAGAATTCGCGTTGCGAATTTGTTGGTCATTTTGGTAAATCAAAACAAAATTGGTTAAATTCGTATATTATAAGACATTTTTTGTCACTGAGGTTATTTTCTCTATTTAATATTAATATTTCTAGTAGAAAAAAATAATGTTTTAGATAACGTTTTACCAGATATGTTAAATATTTTATATAGCGTCCAATATTAATATTTTTGGTATAAAAAATAATATTTTAAATAACATTTAACAAAATTTTTAAAAAATATTAATATTTTCGATAACGTATTTTCTTAATCATATATTAAGATTGCGGTACATGATATATCCATATGCTTTTATTTTCGTTGACCCCTTTGATTTATTGTTGGGGTTCTCCATTTTTACTGCTAATATAAACCATCATTTCTATGGATTTGATTTTTTAAACGATTTATTATTTTATTTTATCATAATTGAGATATTATAGAAAAACGTCATGCTCATAATTTAAACTCCTGCTTTGATGATCAACGGTGGTTTAATGCTAAGCACCTAACCTCCTTATGGAGAATATTTGCTGTACTTTTCTCTATTAATATTTAAAAATGTCCATTCATTTATGTAGACAATGAACCTTTTGAACTCGTTAAACTAATTCATTGTATCCGAAAGATTATAGATTTTATGCTTGTAATTAATAAAATTATTTGTGTGTTGCTTGCTATAGGTACAATTCAAAAAAAATACCACCATATTTTATTAAATAATATGTACTCATAATTTGTTTAACCATTGCATATATACACTATTAATATCACTTGATGGGTTCGTACCGAATATTTTTATATTATGAGAAAAAGGGATCGGATTATTCCAAGTTATTCATATGTTTCGATAAGATGGTCAAAGTTAAGGAATGTCACCTAGATAACATGAGTTAAATTTATATCATTTTCATATGTCATGTGGGCAGAAGATTTCTTATTAAAAAACAGAAGGCGTGAGCAATTTAGACTTGGGGAAATGGTTTTACTATTAAAATGATAATCAGTATAGAAGGCTAATTATTTGGCAAAAGTATCCTTGTTAAAATAAAAATTTTCAAAAATCAAGATAAATATTATATTTAATATGTTGTTTTAAATATAACTATATTGTTAAAAAGTCAAGCTAATGAGTTATTTGTTCGTATGGATTTTTTAATATAACTAAAAGATATAATATATTAAACATAATTAATACAATTTTTATTTGATACAATACTTAATTGTTAAGATTGTTTATCTTTAAATTCCTAAATCGATTAATAAAAACATTTTTTCTATTCTACTTTTTTAAAAGCATTATCTAACTGACTCTAATCAATAAAATTGTTTTGTTTGATGCAGTTTTATGTGTGTTTTCTGTTTATAAGAAGTTTTTGCATATATAAATATATTTATTGAATTGTTGAAATATTTTTTCGTGATTACGTGGCTTGTTATAAACAACTTTACAGTCAAAGTTAAAAGTTGAGATCTAATTATAACTAAAAAAATCAAATAATACATTAATAAAATTTTGAAATTTTACACTCAAATAAATTTCAGGATTTGAAGTCCGTAAATTAAGGTGTTCATAAGAAGCAAGTTGGAGGGTAGGGATATCACAATCACTGACTGCTTTCCTACGGTTGAACAAAACCATTCATTAAAATTACTTTTTCAAACCGAAAAAATAAAAAAGAGTGATGTTGAGTTCTAACTACAAATCCGTGCATCATGCCTCATGTATACGTGTTTCTCGCCCGGTATTATTTATTTGTATATCCATCTCATCTCATGTCATGCTCATGCTGATGCTCATGCTCATGCATGCCAATTTCTTATTATTATAATTATAAAAATAATGCTTTAAAAAATTTATATTCTAAGAACGTATGGGCAGCTTCTTAAATATACTGATGCCATTTCCCCCTTGTCCGCCGACTGCTAGCAGAGGAATCATTATTTTATAAAATAATAAATAAATCCGATTTAAACTTTAGATTTGATTTATTGATTTAAATTAACTTAAATAATTTAAAATTAAAAAATAATTTTTCTGAATAGAATAAGTTATACCCAACCCTAATTATAACGACAACAAAGAATCCAAGGTGTGACAAAAGACAGTTCAGGATTCATCCGATAAAGCTGTAATCTTCTAACTAATCCATCATAGGTTTGACAGACTTTTAGTTTATAATAAGATAGATATGGAAGGGAATAACATGAGATTTTTCGGTGTTGGGTTTATTTTTTAAAATTTTTGAATGGTTTTGGGACAGATATAGCTGTACCTTGTCGATGAGGATCCAAGAATGGTTTATCTTCAACGAAACACTCCCTCATACGCAGGACTGTTGGGCTTAAAGCAGTAACAGAAAATATGCCCACCATTTGGTTTGCCATTGTGAAATGTGCTGCATCACGTAAACCTAGCCCATGTTTTGCTTGGACGCAAACCCTTCAGGTCAGTGAAAGACTATGTTCTGACAGCTTTAGTGGTTGTACTGGTATATATTTTAATATACATACATGATTTTTTTTCCAGATAGGAACAGTTAATTTTATTAAAAATATTTTTTAAAATTATAATAAAAATTTATAATTATAACTATAAACTAAATACATAATAAAACATTTTTCTATAATGATTATTATAAGAAACTAATCACTTAAGAGACACCTAAGAATTATACAATAAGAAAGTTAAAAAGCCTAACAAAATAAACTAAAAAAATATATATACGAATATATCTGATCGCATCGACAAAAATCACTAGCAAACCGCTAATAAGAGTTGAGCACCATGATAAAACTATCCATAAATATAAATCACATATCCAAATTTGATATGAGGGTCCAAAGTAAAAAAGATCATCATGATAAAAATAAAACCATTTTGATTAGTTATGACGATATTAAATTCAATCCCGATAAAAAGGATAAATAAAAAAAAGTCAAACAATCGAAAATTATTAAAAACATAAAAAAAAATTAACCATAAAAACAAAAGAAAATATACCAATAAAATAGAATTGTTAAAAATTTTAAAAATTCAAAGAAAAATAAAAGATGTGATATAAAAAATAAAGAAAAAATATTTAATATCAGTGACGATAATTAACTTTAAAATTAGTTCATTCACATATCAACCAACTATAAAAAAAAGTTAAACGAATTTTAGAAAAAAATTATTAAGGGTTTTGTGAGCCATAGATATATGATTTTTTTAAAACAATATATATCGAATATACCAGTAGATATATATAATGAATATTCATTTACTTATTTTGATCTAATAATTATATATATATATATATATATATATATGGGTTAGGATCTATTTACATGATGTAAATTTTTTTAGTTTTACACATATTTAGAACTGTTAGATAAGTGAAAATAGATGGATGAGATTAATTCATTATTTTTAGTGAATATCTTAGCATTTCCTACTGTTAATTTTATCTATTTATTTTTACTCATCCACTGAATTTAAATCTGTGTAAAACTAAAATAGTTTTGCAATGTGTAACATGATCATTTCTCTCTCTTTCCCTATCTCATTTTATATTGTTAATTTCAGTTATTTATTTTCACTTATTTAATGGTTTCAAATCTATGTAAAACTAAAAGAGTTTTATATTGTGTAATAAAAATATTTCCATATATATATATATACACATAAATTATTATTAATATATTATTAATAAAAAATTATAATTTTTAAGATTATGATGAATATCTTTTTAAAATTTTAAGAAAATAAATAAAATAAAATATTTATCAATATTTTAATGTCACCCAAAGTTGTTAATTAATTAGTAAATCAACCGCTGGAAGAAAGAGTATTATGTTCTTTTTGATAAATTTAAACAAAGATTACTAAATATTAAATAGAGAAAACAAAGTAACCAAAGCCAAAGGCAGCAACCAACACGTGACCGGCAATATTTAACTTCGCAGTTCCCACAAAAGAGTATTCGGCTCCCTCACTAGCTCAAAACCTCAACCGCAATGTTGGACCGGACCTTCTCCGCCCGCCGCACTCAGCCCCACTCCATATTCGACGTCCCAACCTCCTCCGATGTCCCTTCCATCCCAGAATCCCCCTCCTTACTCGCCGACGAGTCCAAAACAAAGAAACCACACCTCTACGTCTTGGCCGCCAATTACATTTCTCGCTTGGGACTCGTTAAATCTCCGTGTCTCTGCCTCTCACTCTGTCTTCTTTTGAGCGTTTTCTTGCTTTTCTCTTTGATGCTCAACTCTCGCTCCTTCATTTGCCTTTCGTCATATGACCCGATCTCTCGTGCCAGCTTCTTCGGCCTCGATGGGCTCGAATCCGATTTCGGATCTCTCGGCGTTCCTTGGTGTAAGTCTTGCTCTTTTTTTTTGTTCTTTTCTCGCGGTTCTCGATCAGATCCGCAACTTTTTTCCTTTGATTCTATGTTACCTTCCTCAGTTCCTTGCATTAGCTGAATGAGATGCCGTTTCGTTGCTTAATTGTGGTAAATGTACTTGGTTTGTTTAATTTTCCGTTTTTGAGGTATGATATCACCATTCCCTTTTGATTATTGGAATCTTAACCGGTGATTAGATCAATTCAATCGTTTATTTGTGTCTCCAAATTAAAATGTTGAAAGACTGGATATTTTTAGTGTACTATTAAATCTTTGGTTTTTAATGAATTTACAAGCTTCAGTAATAATTAATCGTACAACTGATGGTGTTTGCTTGAAAAAATTACTAGTAAGGGAGTAATATTTTTAAGAATTAGGCTGTTCATAGATTTCTTTTTGGTGTTGATTGGTTATGTCGCAGAATAATGTTATTTTGGGTAATAAAATCTGAATTATCCAAAAAAAAAAATATTTTTAAGAATTACGTTCTCACGTTTGATATGTCAGGATTTCGGCTAATAATAAAATATTTTTTCAACAGTAGTAATTTTTCCCCGGAATGTCATTTCCAGTAATATGTATATATTAAATATTTCATAATACCTTCCCTTTAGGATCATATTACCCCTAAGATAAGTTTTTTTTCATGGGGATACTTTATTGTATTTTTAACTATGTAACTAATTATTTATTGTGTAAATGTATTAAATATTTTTATTTAATATTTTTTGAACAAATATTTTTATTTAATATTATTTTAATATTTAAACGGTGTTACACATTTAACTAGTGCTTTAATATTTAATGTATTCTTTTATTAATATTGTATTTATGATATTGTAAGGTTATACGGTGAGTTTGTATGTTGCTTGAGAGTGAATGATTTAGAAGTTAATGTTTTTAAATTTGTCTTTGTTTTATAAGATATTTCCCATCTTTAAAAAATATATTGAACATATTAAACGTTTAACTTTTGACAGTTAACAAAAAAAAAATTAAAGTGTAATGGGTGTATGCAAATATAAAGTATATTTTTAAAAATGTTTTAATATATCAATTATATTAATTATATAATAAATATAAAGTTTTTACAATTTTTGTTAGTGTAATGAAAATTGTTGTAATGTTGATGTTAAACCAAACAAGGTAAACGGTACTATTTGATGTCTGTAGTCAGGGATGGACTTCAAATTTCTATATATTTTAGATACTTTTTTGTATTTTATGTTAGAAATTTATTTTCGTCCTCTTAAAATTTTTTAAGTTCGTCTCTCCTTTAAAGTTCTATAAGTTCGCTCCTCTAACATAATATTCAACGTTCGTCCCTGTTGTGCCTGTCGGTAGTGAAACATTCACCGGAAAGTGGATAAAGAAGTCCTGTTGATATTTTGAATTTACTAGGAACTAATTTTGGAATTGGTTCCCCTCTTGAATAACTTTCCCCGGAACTTTAAAATCAGTATTGGAGTCTGGATGCCAATCAACAATCAATTTTTTGCCTACTTTGCTCTTAAATCTGTATTAAGTTCTAAGGAAACTGTGAATCTATAGTCTGCCTTATTTATTGAGTGTTGCTGATTATCAAGAACTAATCTTTGGTTTTCCTTTTCTCATGTGTTATATGATGAGCTTTTATTTTTCATATCAGAGTTGAGGCTATTTTCATTATTTTTATGAATATTTTACCTCTTTACTTCGCAATCTATGTTATGCTGATTTGCTTGTTTCTGGTATTTATTATGTTGAATGTCAATTTTTATTTAATAAATTTATTTCTTGCTAAAGACCTGATTTCATGTTAAATTATTTAATTTATCTCCCTTGGTTTGCGCCCATTTAATTCGTATCCTTGGCAAAAGGCAGATCGAAACAAGGAAAAACAGTTGAATGGACATCCAAAGATTTAGTCAACGGCTTGGAGGAGTTTGTTCCAATATATGAAACACGTCCAATCAAAAACAACATGTATGGAATGGGTTTTGACCATAGCTTTGGACTTTGGTTCATTGCCAGATGGCTACAACCAGATTTAATGATTGAGAGTGGTGCTTTCAAGGGACATTCCACTTGGGTTCTGCGGCAGGCAATGCCTGACTCACCAATTATCTCAGTCACACCCCGACATCCTAAGAAGTACTTGAAAAAGGGGCCTGCTTATGTTGATGGAAATTGCACGTACTTTGCTGGAAAAGATTTTGTGGATTTTGGACATGTTGAATGGGAGAAGGTGCTTAAGAAGCATGGAATTTCTGATTTCAGCCGGGTTCTTGTCTTTTTTGATGATCATCAAAATGAATTGAAAAGGTACTTAATGCATCCAAGTACCGTGAATCTTCTCACTTAGCAAGTTCAAAAGTTTTATGTTTCAGTAGAGCTGATTTAAGGATGCTTTCCTGGTCTTGCCTTTTATGATTGAGTTTATTATGCTCATGTTTGTGGAATGCGCTTCAATGAACAGGTTAAAGCAGGCATTGAAAGCTGGCTTTAACCATCTTATTTTTGAAGACAATTATGATACTGGAACTGGAGATCATTATTCATTGAGGCAGATATGTGACCAGTTCTATATAAGAGGTAGATGCTCTGACACCATTTTTATGTGCGTTTCTTTAATTCCTTTCAGTTTCTGATATCCTCACATTTGCTTTGCTCTGGCCTCCATCCACTTTTGTCTTCTGTCATTCTGTCTGAAATTTATATCCTCGAATTCTATGCTTGTACTCCCTCATTTTGTTATACCTTCATTTTGCCATACTTGTGGGTTGTGTATAATTTCTCCTCCTAAATGTGTAATCATTTCTATTGCCTACCATTTTGTTCATCTTCTCATTGTTTGATTGCTGCCTAACCAATTGTGTTGTGAGCTCTAGGATTGCAGTAAATATCAGATGTTACCAGACCAACTAGACGGGTCGAATGATGTTACAAGGCCATTATGTCTTGATTGGTTCTTTTTATTCGCTTTTCCTTGAAATTTATAACTAGTATAACTCATGGTAGTAAAAACATATAAAACAGAACCAGGATTAGTTAGACTTCAAAGAAGCTAAAATGAGTATGTCAGTTCATGAGTAAAAGGACCTGGGTTTTAAAAAATGTTATGATTACACTTTCAAGAGTAACAAGATATGGTCTGGTATTTCTCATATGGCTTTATTCATATTAGTAGCTTGTATTTAGATGTTAGGTTAATGGTAAATTAATTATGTACATTATCTCCTGTTGGCACGAAGAGAGATTTCTGGTTGTGTCTTAAGGAACACTTTCTTTTATAAGGCTTAGTATTTCTGTTCTGGTTTTACTTCTTAAAACTCTATTTTCAGTTCCTTTTTTAATTCACCAAGTGCAATGATAGCTTTTTGCATCATGTTGTATAAATATGATATTTTTGAATCTTTTTCTTTTCGGTTTATTTTGTTACCTAGCTGACTGCGGACTTTCTTCATTCAGGAGGCGGCCATAGCTGCTTTAAGGACAGTGATGAAGCCAGGATTAGATCAAAAAGAAAGAAATTCTGGGAGAAGGCATTGGATGCAGATGAACTGTGTACGCCAAATGAAGCATGGTGGGGTGTTCGAGGAGAGATGCGGGATAACTTTAATCACAACAATACCCAAATCTCTCATGCCGAACATTTTCAAAATAGTAGGTTTGTTGAGTCGATTCTCGATGTCTATTGGGAGCTACCACCAGCAGCTGGTCCTTCCCTCACCCACCAAACTCGCTACGATCCTGCCCGTGCACCAACACCTATTGTCGAAGATGGCAGGTATCGTATGTTTCAGCGGCTCGGTTTAGACAGGCTCGAGAGATCTGTATTTAATGGATATACGCAGATGGCGTATCTGCAAATTTCCAAACCCGAATCATGAAGTTATCCAGGATCAGGTATGTTTCAGCTTCACTAGATGAAACTTGTGTCATTACTTTTCATTTCCCTGTAGCGAGCTGTGAGTTTTCTCGTCTTAAAAAAGGAAGAAAAAAAGTCCGTGATCCCCAGTTCTTAGGATCATACTCTGTGATGTTTTTCCAATGTTAATCCATTTATGTGATAATCAATCTAGTTCGCTATCCACTTCCATTTTTGCTTTCTTTTTTTAAAATATGAACAAGTGGGTTCGGTTGAATAACTTCAATCACCATTTATTTTGCTGTGATAATTCAGACTGTAAATGTTATTGTTCACAAACTAGTTCTAAGTTGTAGTGATGAAGGCGTGAAGTCGTTAAAATAATCCGAACTTGATTTCTCAGGAAAATTCCAAACTTAAATCTAAAAGAATAGTCCAAAAATAAGTTTAAATTTAAACGATTAGGTTCCACGAAATCTGAATGCCATTATAAGGTAAGCACCTTTAGATAAGTAATTGGCAATTACATAAATTATACTACTTTATGCAAAATATTTCGTTACTTTCTTTATTTGTGATAATATCAAATAGGAAAAAGTACATTCAATAAACGATTAATTATTTCAGAATTGTCTAGAGAGCATCGTCTGCATAGGAAAAAAAAGGAAAACATTTCGTCCAAAAAACGTGTACAGAATATACAGGAAGTATTGAATTGAATTAAAATTTAAAAACTCTTATTTCATGTATCAATTATGTTTCTCTTTTCAATAAATTCAATTCTTCACTCCTTTATCAACATTTAAATAATGTTTAAAGATTTAATAATGTCACAATTGTATTTTCTATATAAATATTTTTTTCTCTTCGGGGATTACATCGTTTTTCCCCAATTTCGTCAAACATAACAAGTTACTCTAAGAACAGTAAATATCTCTTTCCACAGTTCTTGTTTGTAGTGAACGAAAAACCGACCCCCAAACAGCTTAACGTTATGTCTTTACTAATTTTTTTTTGTGTGGTTCAGTTCTGTCTTTTACTATTTTCACATTTACCGGTAGTATTTACTGTATTTCAGAGATTGGGGTTAAGGTGTAGCAAGCGAGCATAATTAACTGATTAGTGCAGACCCTGTAACCCTGTCGGTTTCTGCACCTTTGAAATTCTACACTTTCTTTCTTTCTCTTGTATAACATTGAAGACAAACATAGTAATTTAATGAGACTCGTCTTTCTTGAAGATGAACTCGGAAAAGAATACTTGGAAAGGCACTTTGTTGTTTTATAACCCAGAAATATCAACACGTCTAAAGTTATTGCTTTTTCTTATAGAAACTTTTTTTAGCCAAAGATTTCCTCCACGAAACAGCTTTTCTCATGTTACAGTTGACGAGGTCGGTAGCAGAACAGACAATACAGAGCAGCCAACGCTATTTCCAAATCCAGTTCCAACCAATTTCAAGATTTACATAATCTGCAGGTTGGTGCTTTTGTCTGGACCGCCCACATTTTGAGCAGAGAAGAAGAAATGTCAAGTCACTTTTGCTTTACATGCCGATTATTACTCGCTGGTGTAGAATTTTAAATGGAGTTCTCGTGCTATAATTATTCCACCCCTAAAAACCAATTTATTTGGAAGATGACGCTAACATCAAATACGACTATGCAATCAGTATATTTGGTTTATCTTGGCTATAGTACAAGTATGCGTATGTATCCATTTCCTGTGTGCTGCTGCGATTAGGTTTCCATCGTCATCATGGTTGAAGAACCGAAAGGGAAAAAACACAATAATTTTAAACTTCCACCAATTCCTCGATATTCCTTTGCACTGTATTTTTCGTATGGTCAAAGTATTATCAACAATGGGTTAAGCAGAATATGTTGATTATCAACTACAAGCACCTTTCTTTGTCACATTTCATATGAATGGTCCAATCAATCTGCAAAAAAAAAAAAAAAAAAAACTCAGATTTTAATGCATGACAGATCCATGTTTAAATGCCCTAACCATATTATAAGATAATAATTCCTGATATCTATCAACCCCTCACCAGTGCAATCTTTATTTGTGTGTCTATATAGACAGCTAGGTCCTCACCAATAATTAAATTCTATCCATATCTGTATTGTTGATGCAAATCAAGAGCACATGAAATATAATCAATCTTATAGGCTAAACTAAGGAATTGCGCTTGTCTGTTGTTTAATTAACAAATCTGATCAGTCATTTTAGAACCTTGACAAAATTCATGGCAGTAAGCAGTATCGAATTCCAGTATATAATTATTTTTATTTAATGGAGTTGCTGTTTTCTTTGATGTGTGAGCAATATTCTAGCTCTTTTTTGAGGCTGAGAAAGCATTTTGAAGAGAAAATGTAATGGAGGTATTCAAAATGAATTCCATATGCTTCGGAAACAAACTGAAAGAAACAATTCGGGGAAACACACCCCATGACAAACTATTTTTTAGTTTACATTATCATAAATTGATTCTTGTTATGAAAAACTAATTGTTTTAGACGATTGTAAATAAAATACAACGATTGTAAATACTTGGATCAATAAGTTGGAGTTTCGCAATCATGGCTGCTACTGTCAACTTATTCAATATTATTATTTTTAGTTCGAATATATATTTTAACCGAGTTGAATTTGGCATTTGGAAATAATGTTATATGAAATTATATCTCAACTTTATATATATTTGGAAGAATGACTTTTAATTCACTCGACGAAACTCATTTGTTCTTACCTTGTTCTTTTTATCTTTCATCTCCCATTCAAAGAGAACGGAGAAGACATTAAATTAAGCAGCTGGTCAATTCCAAGGTCTGCCTGCTACTTCAGCTTTTATGTAATTTTGACCAACTTTGACTATCCAAACATAAATAAAGAAAGATAATGTTAACTGATCATGGATATATTTATAAGAAATGACATATTAAACGAATCCCAAGTAACATCCTACTCAAATCACAGGGACCATTCTACTCAAATAACTTCAACTAGATTGATTTTTTTTTATTTTCTTTTACATTCTAATGAATTGACATTCAGCTCTCCTCTAATGTAATTGTAATTATAATTTAACTTATAAGGTTTCTGTGATTCATTAAAAAAATTCATTTTATTAACAAAAATATCTCTTAAAATCTAAATATCTTCTACTATATTAGATAGATATTTTGTATCGAAAATTATAAAAATATTTATTTTTTTTAATGAATTATTAGTATATAATTTATTTATCATCTAATTCAGAACAAATTTTATAAAAGCTCATTATAAGAGCGATCCTCTCATTTCAATTTATTTTATTTATCAAGATTGAATTCAAAATTAAATCTGATAAAATAAACATAGAATTATGGTATGGAGGAAGCAGGCCATCGTTGCAACTAAAGAAAAAAAAAAGATAAAATAAAATAAACAAATAACTACAAATAAAACTTTGTTGATTGTACCTACCAATGCCAGCTCTTACTGGGCGGCTTCTTTTTTCTATCATTGTGATGCAATGTACTCAGCCTTCCTTTAAGACACCCAATTATTATATTTTGTGTGCTAAGCTCTAAGCCTCTAACTCAATAATTTAATGTGAAAAAACTATGCATTTTGTAGGTCTTAACAAGTTAAAGAGTTTTAGGAATATATATATATATATAACAGAAAAAGTAAAAAACCAATATTTGGATATATTGAAAAGGGAATAAATTGTGTGAGATTCAATTTAAAATTTAATATTAATTAAAATTAAAATAATATTTTCAATACAATACAATACAATATAAATTTAATAGCTTAAATTTGTAATATTATATTGGTAGTGCAACAATATTATCATACAAATTTCATATTAAATGCTTAACATATATTTATTAATGTATTAATTTAATTTAAAATTTTATATTTTACATATAAAATATGAATTATAAAAAATAAAAAAATTGAATATTTTTCCTTTAATTGAGGAGAGAGTGGGAAAAACCGGATTAGGATGGCGGTCAAAGAGTCAACCCCAACAACTAAACTCCATTATGTTGGCCAACAACACCATATGCTGACGTGGTAATATCTTATCCGATCGTATGTCTTAGCTGTTATAGGCTATCGGATCATGGTGCACGCGCGGTAATGGCCTGCTTCTTTGGGATTTACACGATTATTGCCAACAGATACTGGCATGGTAAGAAAAGATTCACCCCGACAACTTTGACTGCAACTCTCAGTAAAAACAATCGGTAAACAAACGAGGCGTTTCCATCAAAACATAAATTGTTATTATTACTGTCCCCTTCTATCTCCATTAGCTGGGTAAAAAACATAAACTTTTACTCTTTTGTGTTTCTTACACATGAATTAGATGGTCAAGTTTTTTAGTACAGAAAATTTTAATCTGTTATTTCTTTTACTTACTAGTTAAATGTTTTCTGCAAAATAATATCATTTTGTGTAATAAAATTATTTAACCATTTACTATTTATTTAGGTAGATGACACTTAAAAAATTATTTAGAAAAATTCTTATATAAATAATATAAATAAATGAGATGAATAATGTAACATAAATATATCATATAAATAAACCTAAAAAAAATTAGAATATACTAATTATACTTTTCTTCAAATACGATTATTTTTTTTGGTATACATCTTCAAATACGATTATGACAAAGTAAAATACACGAAATAATAATATTCACAAATTGCCGGGAAATAATAGTAGGCAATTAATCAGTTATAGAAAGGCCAAGGACACTTCTTTTTTATGCTTCATCAAAAACCACCTCTTCCCCTACAGCCTAACAAGACCGCTTCTCTCTCTGTCTCTTCTCACGTAAGCTTTCGTGTTCTTCATTTTGCTTCCTGTATGTATTCAAGAAAAAAAGTTTATAAGAATTTGATACTTGATGCTAACGCCTTTGGAGCATGATTACATTGGCTTAGTAGAGACTTCTTCCATGGAAAGAAGCTCTGAGAAGATCTCATCTTCTTCTTCTTCTTCATCCTCTTCAATTCCCTCCATCGAAGACAAAACCAGCAAAACCACTATTGACACTTGTCTGAATCTCAAAGAAACCGAGCTGAGGCTCGGCCTACCGGGTTCTCAGTCCCCTGAGAGAAAACTCTCTCTATTTGGCAAAAAACTTGGAGACAAATGATAAAAGTATCGGTTTTGCCGGTAGCGCTTTGAAGAATTTGGTGTCTGGAGCTAAGAGGGGT